CATTAATCATATTTGTTTCAGCTATTTCCTCGTAGTCATGATCTAACATATTCATTTCAATAACGTCTACGTCGGGTACAGTTGCAGACTGTGGTGGATTTTGACCAGCTATTGGCATGATTTCGATCATTGACATTCCTTTCCTCTTTCTATAAAAAGCGTACAAAAAACTAATACACGTTATGAAGAACACGGTCATAGCGCCACCAATTACTATGTAAATAATTCTTTGCCTTTCAAAACCTAATGAAAATTCAAAATACAATCAGTCTATAAATGTCGTTTTTGTATGTATATCAAACTCTAAATTAAACATTAGAAAAACGCAAATAAAATCAGATTTATTTGATGACTGTTGTGCAAATTGTGGCAAAATTTTAAAATACTTATCATGTGTGTGTGTGTGTTGGTGTATTTGTGAATAAAAAAATGTTAAACAGCTGATTTATGACACAAAGGCAACATACAATTTGGTCAAGTTATTTTATTGATCGTTTATTATGAATTTCTACACCGTATTCCTTCTTTTCCACCAATTTCGCTAAACGACAATAACATCAGGATGTATCTTCAGAAAACCACTAACGAGGTCGTAGACATCTAGGACAGGTACATGTTAATGAGACATACAACAGTAGTGTCTTTTTTTTTATTTCAACCTTCCCCTTTCAATCTCGATCATAGGAATAACAAAAGTTAGATAAAAGAACGCATACAAACTAAGGGATTAAAACTCTTGATGATAAATTCGTTCGTCTAATATTGTAATATTTGCTGTTGTTCTTCGCTGTAAATTTCATATAAACGCGTCATTAAAATCATTTTGCAATTTCCAGAGGAAATCTGTACATTTATAAACTATCAGGCTATCTAATAGTATCTATTTATCATCTTTTTTTTCCTTAATGTGTTTATGCCTAAATAATAAATAAAAATTCCACCCAATAGATTTTAGTATTTAAAAATACATTTGGAATGTGAGTATCTTAAGATTAAGTCGAAGTAATTCAGGTATAAAAAAGTAAATAATAAGCATCAAAACATGACTATGGAGGTTTATTTCATCCAAGAAGTTGTTACAAACAGTCCTTTTATACGCTAATTTATGAGATAAATATAGTTTCATAAAAATGTGTTCACGAACATCAATATATTAAAAGACCGCATTTCTAAGTTTTGAAAAAAAAAAGATGTCTGGTATATAGGTGCTGTATTATGGTGTATTGGAAATGAGCAATTTATTTGTCTGAAATAGTAATCATCATTGATTTCTTTTTTTATTACAATACACATTAAAAATTGCGGCAAGATGACAATTAAACTTTCAGTACCACATGGTAGTGGATAACTTTGATTGATTTAATAGAAAAACAAAAGGAACATGGGGTATCCATCCATGACAAAAAATCAGTACATGCACAGCAAAATACACACAAAAAGCAAAGAAACGGCGCTTTTATTGCTGTTCTTCATCTCAAAGTCACAATAAGGCCTTCAACAAGGAGCAAAAAAAGAAAAACTCTTACCTCACTGCAAGTTTAAGACTACACCTAGCATTCTTTGCAAACATAGTTTGGATAGACTTTGAAAGATGTAACACCAATAAATCGGGCTTGGTCAAAAAGAGCATACTGGAAAGTAGTACATATTTATAAGAAACTACTTCCTATGCATATGTATAAATATAAAACTATGTAGAATATGTATTATTAATTTTAATGTATCAGATGAAAGGTGAAGGACTTGTGATCCTTGTAGAACACATATTGACTGATAATTTTGAATAATACAAAAATGCATGAATGAATTCTTGAATTGGGGGCATATCTTGCCTGTTTCTCAGATATGAAGTACCTGGTTTAGTCTTCAATGGTACCGACTTGTACATTTTATGTTACCTGTGGATTCCTTTGCACTTGCTGTTTCAGTCGGTTCGATACTATTGGTGTCCGTCAATTCTGAAACTAAAAGTTTGAAATGGACAGACAATGAACACTGCATGTCTAATTGGATGTATAGTCCATAGAAATGAAGTAAGTAGAAAAACATGTAGAAGACAACATATAATCTTACTAGATAAAAAGTATTATACGCTCTCACCCCATATGGAATTTACTGACCCAATATATATCGTATTAGGTCACTTACACACTATGTAAATAATAATATCATTTGTCATGCTTTGAATCGACAAAGTTTAAGGGACGCGAGTGGTAAAAATATCTGTCTTTATATTAAAGGATCTCTCCTCAACGACAAATTATCTATATAAATTAATCAAAGATATAACTAAAGACAAACACGACTTCAGGACTCAGCCTGATCCGTTTTATTTTCGATCAATGTTATAACAAACTATGAATGGCGAAGATACAGTACTTTTCAGACTAATCTGAACTCTGTAATACCTACCAGGGTAAAATAACGGATCAGGATATTTCCTGAAGTTTTGGATCCAACCAAAGAGTTGTTAGTGGTGTTCACAAAATAGAGTATGTTTTAGTTCTTGACATTTTACATCTTCCTGAGATAGATTACGCGTTATCAAAAAAACTAGATTTTCGGAAACATGAATAACTCATTTGTTCTATTCCGCTGCTTTATGATTGCTACAATAACTTAGTAAGAATGGTAGATATCGATCACAAGGAGGGTCTGAATTATTCAGTTAAGATTTAAAATTAACTGGATTAGTTGTCTTTTTTTCTTTTTTTGTGTTACTTATATCTCATGTATATGTTTGATGCTGCAAGATTTTAAGCATTCAGGGCACCAATGCAAATTATTTTCGAAAAAAATACACTTAGTGTCTAGTAGTTGTATTTTATAACCCCTTGTTCCATAGGGAAATGCGTATACATGTATGTAGAATGACAACATATTTTATTGTCCATGGACTTTAATTTATGTCAGTTTTTAAACAAGGAGACACAGGTAAGCCGTACACTACAGTAAAATCTGTAAATGAAACATATATAAAATCATTAACTAAATTTTGACTAGTTTTGATAGTTGCATTTATTTGACTTCAAGATTGAATGATTTTATACTTGAGAGGTGTTCTTTTTAATATTTTAATCAAGTAAAAGACTGGTATTTTACTTATCACATTATAATATAACTTTTAAAAAATTGAGTCTGATGTTTAAATTTAATTAACATAAAATTGTGTTTACTAGCATACGTCACAAAATCAAACTTGTAAGTCTGAAATATCAAAAACTTCAGAATCATAACCGATGATACTCTAATACGGTACTTTGTATCTTTTGTCTTTTTATTAGATTTTTTTTTGCTTCGTATCGATCTGATTTTTAACTAATTTTTACAGTTTATTCTGATTTTGTGCTGTTACATATTTGTCCAAATTCAACGGATGGTTCAGCGCTCACAAGCATATTCATTTTCTATGTGCCTGTCACAAGTCAGGACCCTGTATTTCAATGGTTGTCGTTGGTTGCTGTCCATCATATTTGTTTTTTATTTGTTTCAGTATAAATCAGGCCGCTAGTTGCCTCGTTTGAAAAGTTTCACAAATTGTAATGTCTTGACTGTTACAGAATACAATATGGGCTTTTGCTCATTTTTAAAGGTCATACGGTGTCCCATTTTAACATGTTATAGTTACTTACATCAATGTACTTTTTTATGAAAAAGTGCCGCATAAGCAATCAAACAACAATCTTTTTGTATCATGATTTTTTTTTTATAAACTTAAAAGCAATTGTACCAATTGGATTTATCACAAAAGCACTACATTGATTTTGTGAGAAGGGACACTTTGCATTATTTATTTATTTTTTTTTTTGTCGTGGAAATATGAGACGTCTTTTGGTTACTTTAGTCGCAATAATGCTGTCTCGTTGACGTAAACTGCACTTCTCTTCTTATTCATATTCTCGTGTATTCTATAGCAATACATATCTTACTTATATTTCATAGATTGTATAGTTAATTTTTTAAAGTAACTCATGAAAATTTGTGAGTCAATGAACTTCAAGGTAGATTTTGCACCCAAACGACCTGATTCGTAAGATAAAGAATGTTTTTCCACGCATATGGCGATGCTTGTATATCCAAGGAAATTTTATCATTGGAGTCGTCCTTAAGACTGAATGATTCAAAGTTTGTTCCATGCAAAAGATTCACAAACTAGATGAAGAAAAATGAATTTCAAACAAGGTTCGGAGTTTTATAAATCTAGAATTCATAGCGTGGAAATCTTTTTTCTCGTAAGAATGCTTTGTGATAGACCCGCAGAGTTTGAAGTTTGGAGCAAAGAAAAAATCGAAACGTTAATGCATCTTATTGCAAAACAATTATGTGTAATGAAAGGAAATGGGTATATAGTGATTTTCGATATTCTCGATGAAACGCTCCTGTGAACTACTACCGGATGGGAAATGTCCATAGATTACCATATTTGTATACCCCAGTCAACTCTTGGGGTCGATTTCATTTAAAAGAAAAGAACAAAAACCGACAGAGGTCATTAGGTTCTATAAACGTTTGTCTTTATATACGGTAAAATTTTATCGTTTTCTTTCAATCTCATATCGGTATAACTACGCAAATATTTCAACTTGTCAGGTTTTTCCCGTTTGTGCAGCATTGTAATCTTAAACAGATCTTTATTCATTGCTGATTAGTTTCTTGATGTTTAAGTTGGAAATGATCGGTATATTGCCAGGTAAACAACAACCAAACATCACATTATCAACAATTACATGTATGAACATACGAAGTTGGAGACAACAATAATGCATATTTCTAAATAATAAAGCATTTTTTTTTATTAACAAATTTTGTTATTACTGTGAGAGAAAACAAATATTAGCCACAGGAAGGCAATATTGCACTATCATGACTATGTCTAGTCCATCATCTTTTACGTAGATCATCCTTAATTTATTCATCAATTTACATATGTATACAAGTCAAAATGTGTAAAATTAATGACAGAATCAATACATTTATAAAATACTCTACAAATCAAGCAACATTTGTTTACACATAATCTTCGTCATTTGGTCTAATTCATTTCATTTTTACGCATATTGTAATTAGAAAGTGTAAATCTGATTACAATACAGATCCTGTATGTCCAAGCTTTGATAACAAGGATCTGAAAGCACCCCATTCTACTTACTGTTTCAAAGACCTTTCTGGATCCCCCTTTTTTTAATGAATACTCTCCTTTAAAGATTTCATTGCTTGAAGTATTATTTACCAGAACAGAAGGTAAAACATAGTGTTGTCAGATCCTTGTCAACAAAGCTTAGAGACAGGATCTGTATTCTAATCAGATTGACGTTGCATCATGATAGTGGATTTCTCTTTAATTTCCAAGGCTAAGAACGTGTTCGTCGTCAATTAATTCATATCCATTTCCACTCTTGTCTACTTCAATAAACAAACGAGGCTGCACTGGTGGTGCTAGAATTGGCGGAATAGACGAATTGTTTACCCCATGTTCAGGTGAACTGTGTGGTACATTCTTTTGGTTATTTTGATATTTATAAACCGCAGCAACTGAGCATAAAACTAGTATGATGAGACCAGCACAGATCATGTATATGAGTATTGCATAGTTTGTAGTTGCTGTATAAAGAAAACATTCTTATACTTATGGATGAACATTAAGCAAATGAACATATACATAATAATTATTGTTAACTTATCTTATTTTATCACTGTAGTTTGTGAACTAAATCAATTGACTTTGTATATATATATATATATATATATTGTACAAGATATAATTTTTCTACTATTTGCGACGTGATGATGTCTCTTTACAATCAACATTAAATTAAACATTAGGTTAATAAAGTATGAATTAATTTTAATATTTTTTTCTGCTGACCTAGAGGATAAAATAAATGACTGAAATAAACCAAAATAGGGTATTTTTATCCGTTATCGTCACTCCCACTTCATCTTCTACGTTTATTTATCTTTACTATGGTTCACTACACTCCTTCTGTATCAAGGCAGGATTTTCAACTATTTTTGCTGATGGCTTGTTTTACTGTTTGTTGTTTGCATTATTCACAACTTCATTCGACACACAGAAATTCACATTGCCATATTATTTTAAATGTTTACAGTCGCCTCATTTTTAATTTGGCCTTTTTAACTTGTTTGATTCGAGCGTCACTGTTAAGTCCTTTGTAGTCGAAACGCGCGTCTGGCGTACACAATTTCAATTCAAGTATATACGAGGATACAAATAAGGAGATGTGGTTTGATTGACTAGTTTATTCGTGCTTACTTTTAACCTAAACTAAACCTTTGATGTTAGCAGTAAGTCTTACACGTCTTAAAACATATGACTGTAAGATGAGTAATTTTTTTGGAAAAGATTTGCATTAAAATTCGTGACTTTCAGCATTGGTATACAACATTCCCGTTGATGTGTTGCCGTTATGTTCGATATTTTCAAATATTCAATATAATGAAAATTACTACATGTAATATCTGTTGTGTGACTCACCTACAGCTACATATTTTGCTTGATTGGCATCAAATCCCCTCTGGCTTTGTTCTGTAGTTGATTGGTTTTGGTATTCTATGGAAACATTTCAACTACAGTTGTAGTCTTTGAAAGTAATATAACATAACCAGCATGTCAAAAACGTGCACAATTGATTTCTTTTTTCTGATTATTATTAACATCCAGACGAAACGTGAAATCAAAAACAGGGATTCACAATCATTTTGGAAAACTTGTTTGATTTCGATACATCATACATAGAAAATGATGTGAAAAAAAAACTAATCATAAAAAATAGATTAAGATTATGCCATGAAATTTTCAGTTGATTTGTGACTAATAAGTTTGACTATCTCAGGAATTGTCCGTCTCTCGCTTAAGCAAAGGGAATGGAAAAAAAAATAAATACATTAATTATGACCAATAGTGTTTTTAACAATATGTGATCATATAGCAACATTTTCATTGATCGGGTTTTGAAGACACATACTGTAATTAAATTAGATCCGGATTCTGATCATCTGTATATAATTGTTTCTCCCCTTCCTGATGTGTTCCCAATTTTATTAATCATTCAAGCCAATATAATATAAGTCATATTGTTGAGTTAAAATTTAAAGATGACGTATTTATCATCTGAATCTAATAGTTTTGAATCGTGGTACTAAGCACACACAAGCGCTACAACGTCCAGTTTGCCTAAGGTCTTTCCCAATTCACCTCTTGTACGATGATATACCTCCCATGAGACCGCATGGATCAGTTTGTTTAAAACAAATATTTTTTTTTTGGCATTTGGGAGTGAAATCTAGTTCATTACGGGTCATGGCGTTAGCGATACATCTATGCGAGAAACATGATATCCTCACTCCCTCTTTCCAATAAGGGTAGTTGTATTAATCGGCTGCTAATTCATCTCTTCCCTTTGAAAATGGTATTGTTCTCGTCTTTGTACTTCTGTTTTTTTGATACGAATAATGAGACAGCATCCAACACCGCGAATATTCTTGCGAAAAAATCTTCCGCATGCATAGATATTATCCGTTTTCAGTGAATTTTTCCGTTTGAATAATCTAATTAAGATATAATATTCATAACGTTGGAAAAACAATGTCACAGTACTTCGAATTAGCATGTATTTATTTAGGTTATAATCGTTATGAGATCTTATGACTCTACATGGCTGCTACATATGTGGCAGTATCTGCTTACCCTGTCGCCTTGCCTCATATTACACTCGCTTTGAGTGTTTTATTTATTGATCAGTCTTTATATGTGGTCTATGTAAAGATTTGTTTCTAATGTCCTGGTTGTTTGTTTTATTGCCATGGCGTTGTCAGTTTCTCTCTAATTTTAGAACTTTGATTGTCCCTATGGTATCATCCAACTCGTTTTTTAAACATTTATGACAGTGATTGACTAAATTAATTGAAACTCAATCGAACAACCTCATGTATGTTTTAAACATATGACAAAATCGCAACAGTTTCAAAGTCTGAAGACTGCACAATTCAACTTCGTATTCCGTCTCCCATGACTATGACATCTTTAGAAATATTTCAAGCTTAGTTTCATTTTACATTTCGAGAAACAACGATCAAAAATGCAAAACATAATCCAAGGAACTGTTTTATTTTCTGAAACGGAAACTCAATTTACTTTTTATCAGGACTAATAACAAAAATCGAGTTGTAAACTTACCCACTATTTGTGAAATGCGTCTTATAAAGACCGTTATTATTATGATTTTTTCATAAACACTAAAAACTCGTGTAGGAAAGACATTACGAAACTACATGTACTTGTATGATTGAGTTATTATTTATCTACCGAGTCACATGCATATAAATATTGCTTACGTTTGACGGTCGAATGTTCACTCAATGTTATGACTGATGTGGTTAATGGAATACAAGACCCATTTTTATTGTCACATCTGGAAATAAACAAGTTAAATACTTATTAAGTGCAATGTATGTAAATAAAATCATGTCAAAAATTACTAATTCTTAGTAACGTTACTTTATATAAATGGACAGTTTAACATGTATTAGAAAACAAAATTACAAAGGTGTTTGAAAACAGATACAAAAGTTTGACTAGTAGGAAACACTTATGCCCATATTTTAGTACACGTATGTGTCGTAATGTCAGGCCATTCAAGAATTTTTATGGTCAAGCCGCTGTCAAGGAAAGCACCCGTACTCTTTCATCATAGTGAAACTATCAAACACCCGACCCTGAATCCTTAAATCTGTATTTAACCTTAGTATCTCATAAAATAAATCACAACATTATTGCCTTCGAACTCGAGACCAAGATAAAGTCAGGTTGGGACAGGGCTGAACATGTACTTCCCCAACTCAACAGATTATAACTGGCTAAGTATCTAGGAGTCTACTTATAGCGGTTAATATCCATCATCACAACACCAAGAGTCACTATGACATTTCAGTGGCAGATTTCAACTTCGTTAGAATTGTTTTTCTTTTTTATTATTGAATCTTTAAGTCAATAAAAGGGGTGTCATTGGTCGCAGTTAACACTCAATGATTTAATTCACATTATAGCGATTCGTACATGACACTTGTATATTAAATGACAATTTTTCTTCTTCTAACCAATTACTACCATTTAATATGTGTTTATAGCTGTATATCCATTAGATAATTGCTTGAGTGATTGTAAGGGCGTGGTTTCGAAAGATATTTAAAAGAGAAAACTATTTGAAAAGATATGTATAAGATAATTGATTCGGCCTAATTTTGCTTTGAATATTATAATGTATCAAAAAAATCACATTCATTTAGTAATACGTGTAAGTTCCGACTTTTTGTAGTAGTAGAAGGTGTTTTTGTTATTCAAACGCAACTGATTAAATGACTCGTTACAAAGGAATTTGACTTGACCTATGTATTGTGGTATTTAAGCATCGTTATCACGATATGGCTACCCTTCAATCAATGAGTAAAATCAATATACATAGATCATTCTAGCGAAATATAAATATGTCCAATTATAACTTTTCATATTACAAATTATTTGCCTGGAAAGACCTCACTTATATATCAGTTTGCACCACGATGCTTTTTTGGTTTATGGGTTTCATAACGAGTGTTAAATTGATATCGTTTGATATCAACTCGTGTTATTTAATTTTAATATACTAATAAACGATATCCATTTTTCAAGAGCTGTTAAATCATTTCTCTTATGGTCAACACTCTTATTGTGTCGAATTAAAAATTCCGCAAATCGTTGATCTGTTCTTTTTCACATGTACCAGTATGACGTCATATGTCCTTTTCCAGCGTCGAACTTTTAAAACTTTTTGTACGCTTCAGACATGAGCATGTAACAAAATTTTATTAAAAAAGAAGATTTCCATGTAAAAAGTGTGAGTGTTTTTTGAATATTAATGAAGAAATCAGATATGTCCGTTGCCATTGACGAAATGTATATCATCTTAACCCTTGAAAGTCATCAACGACCTAACAAATAGCCAGTGGAAATGTCGTAATATCGTCTCATGATGCTGGATAAGCCAATCAAATAAAAAACAGTTTTCGTTTCATTTTTTCATTTCACACTCCGTGCAGTGTGATACGAGATGTATCTTTTTGTGCAAGAAATAGATAACAGGCCAGAACCATAAGAGAATTATATTTTATATCACATAACCAGAGGGTCTTGAAACGACCTTATTGCAAGTAATTTTATTTATTGTAGGTGTACAATTCATACTCATGCTGGTCGTTTCTGGCTGAAAGGCGAATCGTTTGATTACGTCAATATATGTTTTCATTTCGTATGAAAACAATCCATGCAGTATGAAAGTAACCCATAGCGTATCAATGCAACCCACACATATAGAATTGTTTGCCTTGCCTACATAACTGTTCAAAACTGATTTTTGCATTTTTCGTGTACTTCGTTCATACAATTATGCCTTGAAAAAAATCTCAAATGTAATTCCTTAAAAAAAAGTTGTTCACAATATATCCTCAAAAATGAATAATTATTATATACAAAACTAAAACATTAATATATATTTTTATCCTATTCAATAGTAATGATTGGAATTTTCTAAATATTTCACGAGCATTAAACTCGACATCTTCATAATATACCAATTTCAGTGAAATATTATAATAGATTTCACTTCGAATGGTACTGCCTTCATCTCTCTGGAGAATTTCTGCCAAAGTTTAGTTTTTAAATTCTTTCTTTGGTTCTCAAAATTTGAATAACCGATATTTATTTATTTCGAAAATCGATTGATATCATAATTGGTAGCTGTATTTTTGAACATTTGTACCTAATGAAAGCAAATGACCATCATAGGTTTAACCAGAGGCGCTTCGGCATTCAATTCTATAATGAATTGCATATGTCATGCACTAAATATCCTGGGATCTAGATACATGTAGGTTGTAAATAAGTTATATGCTACCTAAGATATCCTTTGAAGGGACAAAAAACCTTAATTTAATGCCACGCATTAACTAGATTCCCTGACTTTGCCTTTTTATTATGTAATATATGCCTTGTGTGCTAATGTTCTAATTTTTATTGGTTGGTTATAAATAGTTGAGAGGACAGTTTCAAACATTTCTATTTGATGCAGGTTATGTCAGAAACACCATTCGTGCACTTGGATATCCAAATTATATTACTTAGTATCATTGGGTGTTTTTTTACCTTCATTACTACATGTAGTATGACTACATTGCATTTGAAGCAACAAAAGATTCAATACCTGTCATTTTCTTTACAGTTGCAAATATAAGCACATTTCTGTCCATACAGGTTTTGAGGGCAGGATTCACACTTAGTTCCTGCTTTAAACGTATGATATCCTACTTCACATTCTATAAAACAAATTGAATGTACTGTGAAAAATCTGTAGTGAAATAAAGAAAAAGAGTATTAATAGGGACGTATTATAAAATAAAGTAAATACTTTACACATTGGTAAATATATCCTTTGAATACACTTATTTTAATATGTTATAACTGCGAGCACTATCAGATCTGTACTGTGCGTCTTATGTGCTTCTTGTTAGGTTATATTTTTTGCTTTGTATTGATCTGATGAGTTAAGTCCCTTTCAACTGATTTTTATTGTTTTTTCTTATGTTATACTGTTACACTGTCTGAAGGTTACCCCTTCGTTATTCAAAAGTCCAAGTTCTTTTTCGAATTTACAAAAGGCTGAAGACTCCATCGATGATACTCGTTTGAAATAATGCTATTGCTACCCTCGATTGACATAATTATATATATATATAATTTAAAGTATGTATATGTAAATGTCCATAGTAAGAATTGTGCTTGAATACTAAGATATATTAAATAATCTATTCTTATTTTTTATATTTCAAATCTTAAATAATCGAGTTCAAAGTATTACAAGTTTCCATTTATACAAAATAATCATGTGATGCTGTATGATAACCAAAAAGATCGCTATTCACCCGAGACTAAAGAACTAATAGTCATTTTGTGGCCTTCAATAAAGAGCAAAATCCATACTAATAGGTAAGCTATATGTATGCCAATATGTTGAATGCATGCATGTTACATTGTGTATTTTCAAAACGTTTGTACCGCACATAGGTCATATTTATGATACCCGCTTAGTCAGCAGTGGTTTGATTTGAAAATAATTCCTTTACCAAAATACTCCTGAACTGATAAGATTGTTTTGGCAATGTTTTAAGAAGCGAGTTGTCTATGCTCATGATGATCTCATGTACACTTTATGAACACAGAAAAAATAAACAATGCATGTGTGAAAGATTATCATGAAAATGTTATTTATGATGATCATAAATATTTATCTATGTTATTGATCAGTTGGTAAAGCAAGAAATGAATTTTGAAAATCTGCAATGTTCTTCCAACATGATTCATCACTATTACTAGTCGTTGTTATTGACTCTTAAGCAATTCAATTGGGATACGCTTTTATTTTTTAACTACAAACTGCTGAAAATTCCGTTCATGTTAAAAACTGTAATCGCTTATTGATGCATGAAAAAAAAATATTATCTGGTTTTATAAAAAATATTTTTAATTTCTAAATACATTCAAATGGGAAAAACGTGGTGGCACTCGATTATTGCATTTGTCATACCTTGTAGCAGATGCAATGCATTCGACTGCAGACATTACCGATTTTTCCAAGCCTGAAAAACTGACATTGGAAAAGTCCAAAAAGGAAACTTAATACGAGTAAGAATAAGATCTAATCACTCTAAAGAACAGTCAGAATGGTATGTCAAAGAACATCACCTAACTGTTTTAGAACAGTTTTAACATAAAACTGTTCTCGGGTAGAACTGTCAAAATCTAATATGTGGTAGAACTGTCCAGATTTGTTCCCAGATATAAATTGTATTATTTGTTGTAGTAGAATAGTCATGGACTGTTAGAATTCTTATGGAAATGGGATAGGATTGCCTGTTAGCCTAGTAACCATCAAAAGTGTGAACAATTAAAAGTCACAGTGCCTCACCTTTTTATAATCTATAGTTGGCTTCTGGATGACAAATAGATTACAATTTAAAAACCAGAAAATCAACGGCCTGATTTACGATAAAGATCATAAACGAAAAAAAAAAACCAACAAATAAATAAAGCAAAAAGTAACCAGCAACTACCCGGATTTCATGCTCACGACATGCACACAAAGGATGTGTCTGATTTTATTATGTACGTTAGAGCTCAGTCCACCCTCAACAATGGAGGAGTGCTGTAGTAGTACAACAATCGAACCAACTGAAAATTAGTTTAAAAGTGGCTATAATCTTCAAATCGGTAGTTAGCCCCAACTATGTAGTTTTTAATATGTAAACGTTTCTACAGCTACTGAAACGATACTTACCTATGCAACTATTGTCAACAAATTCGAAATGGCGGCAACATATGATATTTGACAAATTACCACTGTAAATACAAAAAATATATTATTTAAAAGTTGAGTAAATCAAGGCCAATTAGGAGATAACTGAATAATGTTTAAGCTCCGACGGCATCAATTGGCGACGCGTTATCGGAGCCAGTAAACGGGTATTTCCGATCATCAAATCACCAATTGATGCCATCGGAACTTAAAATGCAATACTGTTATCTCCATTCTAATGAAACTGACAGAAAACAACGTCATACATTTAAAATTTCTCATACGTCGTCTGCGCTTGCGCGTACGTTTTCATAGCATCAATTGTGAATTCATGCCATGAAAATTGGTGACGTTATCCAATCAAAATGAATGTTACAAAGATGTTGCATTAGAATACATGTTGTATAAGAATTTAGCATTTAATGTTGTCCGTTTAAATATTATTGAAGACAACAATCTTTTTACACTACATGACATGATTGATTTTTGGTGGGGATTGTAGTAGAGTGAAAATATTTTTCGATATTTGCTATTGAGGGCATAACTATAAAGATCCGTGATCGAAAACTCAAAATAAAATGATACAATTAACATATCAAAAGGCAACACATGCACGTTGATTTCGAATCAATAACTGTATAACATGTATAATATATGGAAATGTGCAGTTTACCTATGACAGATTCCTTTTATCGTTTGCGAAAGTCCTGTTATATTTCCAAATATTAACAAAAGCTTTGTAAGTAATAATAAGAACAATTGCATCTTGCATGCATACGTTATTCCATCGTTGTAGTTGATATAAAACAAGGAAACGTTTGACTTTTTTTATGTTTTATGTAAATTAGACCACCGGAAACGATTATAAATGGAACAGAATTACCGGAAATATAGAATTGTGTTTATTGTTAATGTGCCAAGGGTAATTCAAGTAAAATGTTGTTCCCGAATAAATTATCACATTTTGCTTGGATTGGTGCGAGTACGAAACGAAAGGCTTATTCGGCGCAGATGTATAAGATGTATAAGAAGCGAGACAGTTGAAGAGCTAAATTACCAAATAGGACCTAGAAAAGAGGGAGTCGAAACTTTAGTTTCTTTATTAATTCTAAATCTATAAACGGACAATTATAGAAAGGTTTGTTATAAATCAAAATCTGTTACTTATAGTCATGGATAAAATTGATCTTTCCGGAACAACTTAAATAACAGACATAACTCTGAAAAAACAACACACGGGTTTTCTACTTAATTGAAGATATTTCAAAATGCTTCCTAATACCTTAGAAAGTAACAATATTGATGTGTGCCTGCTTGCCAGCGTTGATTGCTAAACATATATATCATAAGCTAAGTTAACGTTTAAAAAAATCACAATGCAACATTAAAAAAGTATTATATGAAATACAGATTGTCAAGGTAAATTTAAAAAGGGGAAGTCCATAAATCCATCCTGACACAATCAAACGTTAGACAATATCAAACAACGTAACGAATGGAAAACAACTGTCATATTCTTGACCTGGTACAGGCATTTTCCGAAGAAACTGGTGGGTAAAACCTTGTTTTAAAGCTAGCTAGACCTCCCATTTACATGACAGTTGTTTATAGTTATGTTATATTAACAAAAATGGATGCGAAACCCAAACAGACACAATTGGTGAATGTGACAATAATTGGGACCCAGCAGCCAAAACTGTGTAAACATATATATCTAGGACAAGCAAAACAACAAATCTAAAAATTAAAATGGACACACAATTAAATTTTGCAATAGTTGATTGTAGACCTAACAATGCCGCCAACAAAAAACAATTATTTTGTATGGTTGATAGTACATACAGAATAATAATAAAACATAATACTATGGTAGAATGCACTTTCCCGATAAAGCAAAATTTAGTAAAATATAAATATACTTAGGTAAACAAAATGAAAACAACCCTATAAAACCTCAAGCGTACAAATAACACTTTTGATGCACCTGCACCAGGAACTTTAAAATCCCAGAAACCTAAAAGTTAGATGTAACTAGATGTGTCGGAACGACACGAATGGCCCCGCTCGCGAAAAACAAACCTGGAACCCGTTTTAGGAGTCGAAATTTCAAAGTCCAAAGCCTGTAATTTTGGCAAAAATCAGCGGAGCAGAACCAAACGTTAATTCGATCTGTAACTCATCATAGAAGACTTACATAATTAAAATCAACTCAATATGTGAAGGTGTTTAGAAAAAAGTCCGTCCGACTGTTATTTTCACAAAAATTTCAAAGTCCAAAAACCAGTAACTTTGGCAAAAATCAGCGGAGCTGAACCAAATGTAAACTTGACCTATAATGGTTTACTTTTATAAATTTTGACTTGGATGGAGGGTTGTCTCATTGGCACTCATACCACATCTTCTTATATTTATTGATCTGTAACTCATCATAGTAGACTCACATACTAAAAATCAGCGTAATGTGTGAAGGCGTTTAGAAAAAACGTCCGTATAACTGTTATTTTCACAAAATCATCAACAGTGAAAAGCCCGTAATTTCAGCAAAAATCAACAGAGCGGAATCAAACGTTAACTCGATCTGTAACTCATTATTGTAGACAAACATACTAAAAATCAGCTCAATATGGAAGGGCGTTCAGAAAAAAAAAGATTGTATGACTGTTATTTTCAAAAATAATACAAAAGTCCAAAGCACGTAATTTCGGTAAAAATCAGTGGAGAGGAACCAAACGTAAATTCAATCTGTAACTTAATAGACTCACATACTAAAAATTAGATTAATATGTGAAGGCGTTTAGAAAAAAAATCGGTATTACTGTGAATTTTATAAAATTTAAAAGTCCAAAGCCAGAAATTTTAGCAGTTAGGTGTTCAGAAAAAAAAATCCGTATAAATGTATGTTGTGGAATGACGGAATGACGGAATGACAGATAAGGGTAACAGCCACGTCAAGATTCGTGCGCCAAAAAGGAACAAAAAAGTACAAAAAAGTTAACACTGAATATTTGTCTATAAAGTCTTGCTACTTTTCGATGAACTTTTTGAGACATAAAGACAAAAACCTGGCTGATTGATTTTTGCGTAGACAACTATGACGTTTAACAAAGTCTGAGCTACAGCTGCAAGCTCTTGAATATCGTATGAATTTAGAAATATATACGCCACAAAGAGGTGAAATATGTATACTGCTGCTTACGTGAGCATCGTCTCGTTTGTTATAGATTCTAATACTGCGATGACCGTTGTAGTGAAATTCGAGTTATATGTATAGAAATACGGCGGAGGCGGCTGTATCTGTGTTACAATAAAGTAATGTTGTTTAATGCTGAAAATATGCAATAATAAATAAATACACATGTAGCCAGTATTAAAGCCACATGACTTATTTATTACAATTTCCAACTATAACATTAACGACACAAGTTCCACAATTCGACAATAAATGTCTCTTCAGTGATGGCCTAGGCCAAAATAATTGAAAATGAAAAAAATAATTAAAAAAATAAAGAGCTTATTAACCAAAGAGTACAAAAAGTATAGCCAAAGCCTGCTGAAGAATCGGGGGTTGCATGAAGGAGATATATTACTTAATTTTAGATAATTTCTAACATTTTGTAACAACACATTTTTATAACACAATATCTGTATTTGCATGTCCTGTACAGAAGTACTAGCTACTGGGCTTGTGATATCGTCGGGGACTATCAGTTCACCAGCAGAGGTAACAATACAGTAGTATTAATGACATTAACGTTATCAATTTTGCAGCACTAGATGCACATTTCGACAACAAATGTCTCTTCATTGAAGCCCGATGCCAAAATGTTTCAAAATCCCAAAAGATATTTTCTTGAACCAAAGTATGTATATGAATAGACCTTTCTGTTTTTACTACAATTGATGTCACGTATGCAGTAGCTGATATATCCAGCAGGTACATAAATTTCATTAGATTTATTGTGCTGTTGTTTCCCACATCCTTCCAGCTCTTTTTGTTACATATTTTCAGAATTTGAAAATTTCATCCTTCAATTTGGTCTCTGTTATTTCTGTAATTTTCATAACATGTCATGACAACAACAACAAAAAAACAACAACAAAAAATAACGACACAAACCCCATTACAGGATATGGTTATTATATAATGATGCACAGATACTTGAACTTTTATACTTTGTAAAGATAGATAAACACATTATTTAAAATTATGTTAGATTCAAAAGAATCTAAGGTTAAACAATTATATATAAGCCCAGAGTTGTTTTTTATAAATTACTTGGTATACAGAACCGCTAACCCGATTTGTTAAAGTTTTTAGAAAAAAATAAATATTAAAGGGTCATGTTGGGGTTTTTTTTTTCGCTGACCACAAAAAATATTTTTCTCTCATATAAAACATTTCTTCATTACTGCTTTTTATTGTTAATTATGTTTATTTTATAAAGAAATAATGTATCTATAGTATTTGTATCCTATAGAAAACGTTTGTCTTGAAAGCAAGCTATTTGTTTGTTTGATAGTCTCAATGACTCAATGAAATGTTCTGTTTCATGGGTTGAACGAAAACAAATTTTGTCCATATGGATATCAAAAGAGTGTTGATATTTTACCCGGCAAAAGATTAAAGCAATATTACCCATCTCAAACACTGAGATTTTTTTAGGTTTCTGCTTGGTTTCTGCTCCCAATGTGGGGCTCTGTATATAGTTTGTTATTTTGTAAATTTGCTACGTTTTAAAATAAATAAGGACAAGAAAGCTATTGATGATAACATTACTTTATTAGAGTTTATAACATTTCAGAGAAGGAGAACAGAACCATAAAATTATACGTATAGACCTTGTTTATAGTATCTATAGCAACCGACATTTTGAATAAAATTTTATTAAATAAAGAACGCAATTTAAAGAATTTTTATAAAGTATTTCCATGTCTTTCAAAATTGGTACTGTAAATATGTACACTGCAGATATTGATTAATAAATGAAAATATATCTTATGCTAAAACATCCAATAACAACGCTCCAAAGTTGACTTCCGTCACTTTAGTAGGGTTCACAAAAGAAAAATTTAATGCTATAACAGTGGAACACATCATTTTCCCTATGATGGTCTCCCTTTGTTAATATGAACGCGTACTTCCGTATCCTATTGGAAATTGATTGTTAGTTCATGTAGGTAAGATATATTTATATCATGTATTGGCAAAAAGCCATTGAGGTGATTTTGTGGGGTTATGTAAATATTCGTGTTTATTAATAGACAAATGAAGAATTCTATATGAATAAAATTATATGGCCTTGTATTGATTGTTTGTACACACGATTAGTTTCATTGTTCATAGATTGTTACCTTGATCTAGAATTATTGCATGTTTCAACATTGACTGATAGGGTTTAAATAACTGATAACATTGTTTAGCACACTACAACAATGTGTCTTTTTATAATATTGATTTGTTTAACTACACAATGATGTACACAGTGTTTTTAAAGGTCGGGAACACTACCTTATATGGATATGCATAAATTAACATACTTATGTCCTCGCACATGTAATTGTTTATTTACGTATGACGCAAATTTATTTTACCTGGGTTTTTGACCAATCCATTAAATGAGTAACAATGCATGAAGGACTACGTATTTACGATCAGCCGAGAACACGTGTTATTTATTGAAATACAACACATTTTTTCATGCATTGCGGGATTTAAAATTTCCCTTACTTTTTCATTTTTTGTATCCATATTTATAGTCCGTGATATAAAGTATTCGTTT